TCCTGGCTGGCACAGAAATGAGCTGCAGCCCAATCCTGGCTGGGATAGAAATGAGCTGCAGCCCAATCCTGGCTGGCACAGAAATGAGCTGCAGCCCAATCTGGGCTCTGGTGGCAGGAGAAGTTTGAAGCTCCCTGTGAGAGGGGGTTCTACAAACCCCGTCCTTCCACTGAATTCCCAAAGTTCCATCAGTCCTGTCCTGCCACTGAGCTGCTTTAAAATGACCCTGGAGGAGCCCCAGGGGAGCCCTCCTTGGGGTCTGCAGGTTTCTCTTGAGGGAGGAATCCCTGGTGGGATTTTGGGGTGACTGTGCAGGGCCAGGGGTTGGACCCGGGTGATCCTCGTGGGTTCCTCTCAGCTCAGAACACTCTGTGACTCAAAGCCCTGTGTTCCTGTGTTTCAGAGCCACCTCCAGTGCAGCACCATGTCCTCCCCCAGGCAGATCTGCAGCTCCTCTCCCTGCTGGGTGTCCTGCCCTCAGCCCGTGGCCGACGCCTGGAACGAGCCCTGTGTCACCTCCTGTGGGGACTCCCGGGCCGTGATTTACCCACCCCCCGTGGTCATCACCTTCCCCGGGCCCATCCTGAGCTCCTGCCCCCAGGAGAGCGTGGTGGGATCCTCAGCACCAGCTGCCCTCGAGGCCTCCCTGGGCTCTGGGGGATTTTACGGCTCCAGAGGCTCCTTTTGCTACGGGGCGTCCCAGGGGAGCAACTTCTCGTCCTCTTATTGCTCCCCCAGGGTCGGTGGGTACAGGTTCAGGAGGTGGGAGCCCTCCCAGAGCCAGCAGGAGTTCTCTTTCTCCAAGAGCAGCAGCCAGGGTGCTGAATGCAAGATCCAGTCTCAAGAGTAAAATGGCTTTTTAAAACGCTGCCATGAAAAGGCTGATTCCTGCTGCCACTCGATTGTGTTTGTGCTTGTACCCACTCCTGTGCCTCCTGTCTTAGCTCTAAATGTGGTGTTCTGTTCCTCTCACGGTCCAAATTTCAAATGCATCAATATTCTTCCCACATCTCAACCAACAACATTATCCAGGGAGCAAAAGGGAAAGTTTGCACCCTGTGATTTCTCCCACTCGAAGCTGCTCTTGGTGTCCACCAGGAGTTGTGAGAACTGGACTGCAGGTGGAAGCTGACACTTGGAGGAGAAGGAGAGAACACACTGCCTGGAATGAAGCTTCCTGAAACCAGAGGCCAACTGTGTCAAAGCCTCAAAGCCTCATTTTCTGTACGATCACCTTTTGCTTCTGTGACCTTTCCCCCCTCTGTCACCCATTAATAAATCAGGCTGCATCATAATCTGAGTGTTCTGGCTTTGCTCTCTGCCTGCTTGGGGGAAACAACACAACTGAGGGACTCTCCTGGGTGCAGGGTTGGTGTTTCCACCCTAATACGGCCCTGAAGTGAGAGGGGAGTAGGACCCCAACTGAACAAACCCACACTCTCTCTCAGCCCTCTGCTCAGCAATGAGCTTTGCCAGGTTCTAGTCCTGCTTTAAACCTTGTGCTGCAGCATTTTTCACTGCTAGAAAACCACTGGAGACGGAAAACATTCCAACCTGAACCTCCCTGGGCACAGCTTGAGGGTGGAAGCAGCACTGGAGGTGCCCACACAGAGGAACAGCCCCGGTGCTGTGCCCACACTCAGTTTGGCACCAACCAGGTGTCACTGGCCCTCTTGGCCACCTGGACACACCTGAGCTCCTGTTGAGGTGCTCTTGACCAGCACCCCCAGGTCCTTTTCCAGCTTAGCCACCCTTCCCCAAGCCTGGAATGTTCCCTGGGGTCACTGTGACTCCGGGGGCAGGATCCAGCATTTGGCCCTGTTGGATCCAGCCTGTCCCCCCCCCCTCTGCAGAGCTGCTGCCCTCCAGCTGATCCTCATCTTACCCAGCAGATCCACATCCCCCCAGCAAATTCACACCCCACCCAGCTGATCCTCATCCCCCCCAACTGATCCTCATCCCCCCCAGCTGATCCTCACCCCCCCCAGCTGATCCTCATCCCCCCAAATTGATCCTCATCCCCCCCAGCTGATCCTCATCCCCCCCAGCCTGGGCTCTGTGAGTTGGGGGAGCCTGAGGCCCCTCATCCAGGTCCTGGGTGGAGACATGAAACAGGACTGGCCCCAAAAGTGACCCCTGGAGAACCCCCCGAGTGCCCAGTCCCAGTGATACAAGTGTTTATCTCCTTTTTAGGAGAACAGGGTGGGAAGGGAAGGGGTGCATTTCCAAGGACTGGGTGATTCATGGAGGTGTCTGTGGGGTTGTGTCTTCACCTGCTCCCAGAGCCAGTGAAATCAGGCGTGGCTGGGGCAGGAGGAGCAAACCCTGTGGTTTGGGGCTCCACAACATCTTCTTCCCTCTGCTTCTGTTCCTGTTTCTTGTTAATGTGAATCCTCTGCTGTCAGCAACTTCCAAGGGTGTCTCTGCTGGGAAACACCACTCGGGGAAGTCCTGAGGTAGCCCCAGGAAAGAGGCTTCCTCAGCTTCCTCACGAGGGTCACCTGCACAGCATTGCCCTGAATTATGATAATGATTCAGTTTAGTTTTCGGGCTGTTCTTTCCACCTCCTGATAACAACGACCTCAAAACCGTCATATCAACCACCTGTGGCTGTTTGAAAGTGAGATGAGATCGTGGAAGTCTTCCCATGCCATGGAAAAGCAGGAGCAATGCACGTGGAAGGCAGAGCCCTGGAGCAATTCTTTGCCTGCAGCCTTCAAGGAGCCCCTGCCGAGATTTTCGCTCTGTTTTTCATTCCCAGTAACGTGTTTTAATTCTTGCTCCCTCATTAAACCACCATGCACCAAACCCCAGAGCTCTCCTGTGGTTTTTGTCCACCACTTCTGGGGTTTCCACCATTCAGCCTCTGCAGTGAAACGTGGCAGGGGTTGTTTCCTTCCAGCACCGGAGCTTGGAAGGTGCCCAGGTCCCTGGAGCAGGAGGAAGTGTGATGACAGAAAGTCGTGTCATGATGGATGAACATGTTTTGTAACCTTTACAGCTGAGTTGGATGTTCCCTCCAGGACAGGTGTGGTTCTTGGCCACATGCTCACACAGAAAGTTAAACCTCGCAGCTCCCAAGGTCTTCCCTGTGTCTCAACACTTGCCCGAGGCTCCAGTTTAATTATATCCCCATACATTGATTTTATGATTTTTCATTGGTTAAAAGTAGCCTTGGGATCCACGGGTAGAATTTTCCTTTGAACAGACAGCAGGAATTTTTACTTGAATGGCAAATCTTTGCTGGAATTCTGTGAGTTGTTTGAACTTTTCCCTTCTAAACCCTTGGCAACTCCACTTAAAATCAAACAAAGAACAGCTGTTAAGTGTTCCCTGCACAGCAACACGTGCGAGGGTGGGGAGGCGCTGGCACGGGCTATTCCAGGGATCCCGTCCCTGGAGGGGAGCAAGAACTGAACCGACAGTGTCTCATCCTGACCCGCAGAGGTCACTGCACCCTCTCTCATCCTCCCGAGCTCCGGGCATGTGTTCGGATCCCGGTAAAAGGGATTTAACCGTTGTTACAGCTGCAGGATCTTCATTAGTTTCAGGTGTTTCAAATTAAGGCTTGATCAGACTCACCTGAAAAAGCGATTTTTTTCAAGCTCGTTCTCCCCTTTAACTTATAAACAATAATTTAGTAAACCATGTCTGGAATCCTTTGGGGATTTTTGGAAGTGTTTGGAAGTTGTTTGGGACTGGTTTTTGAGCAACCTGGTCTAGTGAAAGATCAGGCCCGTGGCAGAGGGCTTGGATGGACTTTGGAGGCCCTTTCCAATCCAAACCATTCCTCATTCCATAATTCCACGACCTGCAAAATAACCCACGTCCTGTATACTCTGCCCATGCCACGCATCACCCTCCACCTAAAATCAGAACTCACCTGAAATCAGAACTCCCTGAAAACATGTCAATTTGATTAATTATCTCATTTTCAGAGGCTGTTTGGGAAGGCCCCACTGAAATCATGTTTAAATAACAGGAGTTAAGACACTGTTGGTCCAGGAACGATTGGGACAAGGTGGAGATGGGTCAAAGGTTGGACCTGGTGATCTTGGAGGGTTTTTCCAGCCTCAGTGATTCTGGGATTCTGTTATTTCAAACCTTTGATATCCTCAAAGGATGGAAAGCTGCTACTCAGGAGTTTCACCCCGGGAAGGTTTTAACACCATGTAAAATCAGGGCTAAAGGGTTTTGAGGTTCCACTGCCCGGGGAGCACCTTGGTCCTGACTTTTGGGAAGGTGCCACCCGGGACAGGCTGTGGCTGAAGGGAAGAAGGGAAACCAGAGGCTGCTGTGTGATGCAACAAGTTTTAATGAGCAAGAAATGCCTGTTTGCAAAGCGAGATATCACAGAGCACGAAAACCCTCCTTCCAGACAATTCCAGGGCACGACCAATAAATGTCCTGCTCTGAGACATCCCCGTCCTCAGCCGGCTCCTCCTGGCTGTTGTGCAGCTGCTGCTGAAGGTTCTTGTCGCTGGGGGTGGTGTCCACAGGGAATGAGTGCCCTGGGAAAGCTGGAACAGGCGACAACAGCAACAAGGAGACGCTGAGGGGCCACCAAAGAGCAGGAGAAGGATGAGGAAGGCGAAGGGGCGGGAGCTCCGTTGCAGGGCTGCGGGAAGGCCGAGCCCTCGTCCTCATTGCTCTGGTTTGGGGTCTTCACCGGGGCTCTGGGGACACCCCCGGGGCTCTGGGGGCCCCCCCGGGCTCAGCAGGGCCCACAGACGTTGCGGAGGACGCGGCTGTAGCGGCGGGACGAGAAGGGGCCGCAGGAGCTGCCGCCGAGCGCGGCCAGGGCCGGGCTCCCGTATCCGTACTGGGCCCCGGATCCATACTGGGCTCCGTAGCCCAGGGAGCCCCCGTAGAGGCCCCCCAGCCCCAGGGAGCCCCCGAAGGCGGGTGCCCCCGAGGATCCCACCACGGCCTGCTGGGGGAAGGAGCTGAGGATGGGCCCGGGGAAGGTGACCACCACGGGGGGCGGCTGGATGAGCGCGGTGGAGTCGGGGCACTGCCGCACACACGGCTCGTTGCAGCTGTTGGCCACGGGCTGGGGGCAGGAGATGCTGGGGGTGGTGGGGCACACGTCGTAGCAGGACATCTTCTCTGCTGGGGAGGGAGGTGATCCTGCAACAGAGAGAAGGAGCCGCTCAAAAATGAGGCGCGAGGTCGAAGGGAACGACAGGTCAGGGTTTGGGGTTGGGTCGTTGGGGAATGAGGGAAAACCAGCCCGGGGTGCAAAGCTGGGGAATGTTGTGGCAGTTTTGGTCACTGCAATGGGAGGATGGTCTGGAGCTGCTGCAGAGGGTCCAAAGGAGGCAGCAGAGATGGGGAAGGGCCTCGAGGGGCTGAGGGCACTGGGTGTGCTCAGTTGGAGGAGACTGAGGGGAGACCTCAGTGCAGCTCCAATTCCTGGGCAGGGGCAGAGGAGGGGCAGGGACTGAGCTCTGCTCTGGGGGCACCAGGAACAGCACCCAGGGAATGGCTGGAGCTGTGCCAGGGCAGGGCCAGGTGGGATCTCAGGGTTTAAAATAAGCTCTTTCTTCAGGTGGGTCATTAAAGAATTTAGGATATGGCCAAGCCTCTCTAATTCAGTGAACTGAAGTGGGGCAGGAGAATTCTGCATTTTAAAGCCTATTCCACCCTGCATTTTCAGTCTCCTACAAGAATAGCCAAATACGAATTACAGGGAAACAATGTGAAATATAACAGTATTATATACTGTTTAGCATATTATTTAAAATAAATGCCTCAGCCCCTAATCTTGGCTCCTAAAGCCTCGCAGTGAAACAACTTGCCAAGGTACTCCAAAAATAAGATTAAAAATAAATTAAGGAAGAAGAAACGAAGGAAAAATTTCATCCTAAACCCAGTAAAGCAACTCCAGTGAACAGCATCCTAAGCTCTGGAATTAAAAAGAATAAAACTGAGGCTCTGTGGCACCGAGAAAGAAATGAAGTGGCATCAGACTTACCCGATGTGGAGGAGAGAGGCAGGAGAGTGAGATGGAACAACCCTGGGTAGCTGCTGCTTTTATACAGCCCTGGAGATGGCCTGGGGGGGCTGAGCCACAGCCCAACTCCCCGAGTGATGAAACCCTCCTTGCTTTGCAAAATCACCGAAATCTCTGCCTGGCACAACCTGCACATTCCGGCTTCCCTTTCATCTCGGAGCCCAGAGGACCAGTTTCACTGCTGGGACCCTCCCACCCAGCTCGTTGCAGCAGGAATTAAACTCCTTCCAGTTAGTTAACACTTCCTTCATTACCTTCCCCTAATGATTTTAATGGGAGCTGGAACCTGCTGTCGTGGACATGTTTGGGTTTGATGCTTCAGATCTGGCTCTGATCTCATCTGCTCACACATTTTGCAATGAAATGCTCAGCCAGGTGGAAAAACCTCCTGATCCCTCTCACAGCCACAAACCTGGGGGGGTTTGGCAGTTTTAGGCATTGGCAGCAAGGTTTTGTTTTAGAAGTCCTGAATTCTTTATTGCAGAAAACATATTTTAGTCCCTGAATATGTTTAGACCAAAGGATGAGGTTTTCTCTGCAGGGATATCAGCTTTTTTTTTTTCCCAGATTCATTCAGGTTGGAAAAGCCCTCCAGGATCATCCAGTCCCCCCCTGTGCCCCATCCCCAGCTTGGCCCCAGCCCAGAGCACTCAGTGCCACATCCAGTCCTTCCCTGGGCAAGGCCTGAACACCCTTTCCAGGGGAAATTCCTCCTGCTGCAAATGCAAACACGAATGGATCCTCACAACTCTGTGCTGAGACTGCCCGGCCCCAAAGGAGGACCTGGAATCACAGAAACATGGAATGCTTGGGGTTGGAAGGACCCTTAAGATCATCCCACTGCACCTCCCAGCAGCCCAGGTTGCTCCAACCTGGCCTTGGATGCTTCCAGGGATGGGGCAGCCACGGCTTCCCTGGGAACCCCATTCCAGTCTCTCTCCATCCTCACAGGGGGGAATTCCTTCCCAATATCCCCCCTAAATTTCCCCTCTGTCAGTGTGAACCCGTCCCCCTTGTCCTGTCAGCCCAGTTCCTGATGAACTCCCCTCTCCCCCTGTTCCCTGCAGCCCCCTCAGACCCTGGGAGCTGCTCTGGGGTCTCCACACAACCTTCTCCTCTCCACACAAAAAGGTGAAATGGGCAAATTCCTCACTTTTGGGCCCCACTGGGAATTCTCAGCCTTGCCCAGCCCCTGGTGGGGAGGGACAGGAGTTTCTGCAGGACAGTTCAGCCCCTCTGGGGTGCTGCCCTTGCCAGAACTGGCATCACACCCAGCCCAGCCCAATCTGCTGTGTTGGCTGTGGGGACACACGACCAGCTCAGCTGAAAGCCCGGCCTGTAAACAGGGAGGGTCTGCTGAGACGTGTCCCACCCTGATTTCCAGACTCCCCAGTTCTGGGTCCCACCCCAGAAACCCTCATTTACCCGTGGGCTGATTGGTTGTTGAATAAACACGTTTATTTACCACGATTTCTAAATAGATTTCTGAGTGATTTTCTAAATAAACACATTTCTACCACTGAAATGAGGAGGTTCCTTTTTCCCAGACTTCGAGGTGTCCCCAGGGGATGACAGGAAGGACAGTACTCACACTGAGTGTCCAAATACTCTTTGTGTGTGTTTTTAAGCACTTCCCAAACCCTCCTTAATAATTTACACATGAAGTGGGGTGTCATTATTGTCATATAAATATGTGGTTGGGTTCAAACAGCCCAACATTTTGAAATGTGGTTATTAAACTGTGAACTCTTCCTGTTCCCTTCACCAGCCCACGGTTTCAAACCTCAGCATTTCAGTTGATTTTCCTGTGGAATTGAAGTTTTCATTTATTTTTGTAGGTTTTTCTATAATCTGCTTTAGTGCTGAGATATTAATTTATGTTTTCTCATAGTACAAAAATATTGAGATCTGCCTGAACATTTGAGAGACAAAACATGGATCTGGATGCTTTTAAAAAGCACTTTGCAATGTATCTTTTGATTTTTCCTCTGAGAAGTGCACGATGGAATTGTCCAACTTTGAATTCCAGCTTCATTTAAAAGCTGCTGATTTCACAAGGAAGGCGCTGTGGTTCTTTATCAATTCTATTTTATCTGCTGTGGGTAAGGAAGAAAGGAAGAAAACCTGCACCTTAAAGCAGATGATAATTATGATTAACACTTGAGCCACCGTCATTATGTCAACCAGCAAAGGAAGAGGTAAATAAATGAAGCAGCATAATTCCTCCTGTCATCCCAAATGTATTTAATGGAGCCTTACCAGGCATGAATCTCGCCAATTAAGGGCTAAGATGAAAGAAATATTTGTTTTGTAATTTGCATTTCATGCAGTGTCAGAATTTGAATCAACTCATAAACAGAAACATTGAGCAAAAACTCTTTCGTCACTTGGAGGAGGCCCAGGAGTGACAGACGTGGGCTGGGGCTCAGGGGACACCTCGGGCACTCTGGGGAAGGGCATAAATCCCTCCTCAGAGCAGCCTCGAGCCTCACGGGATCCCAGAGCCCCTGAGCTTGGAAAAACCCTCCCAGGATCCCAGAATCCTGGGATCCCAGAGCCCCTGAGCTTGGAAAAGCCCTCCCAGCCCATCCAGTCCCCCCTGTGCCCCATCCCCACCTTGGCCCCAGCCCAGAGCACTCAGTGCCACATCCAGGCCTTCCCTGGGCACCTCCAGGGCTGGGGACTCCCCCACCTCCCTGGGCAGCCCCTGCCAAGGCCTGAACACCCTTTCCAGGGGGAAATTCCTCCTCATGGCCAACCTGACCCTCCCCTGGCACAGCTTGAGGCCGTTCCCTCCCCAGCTCCCCCCTCCTGTCAGGGAATTCCAGAGCCAGAAGGTCCCCCCTGAGCCTCCTTTTCTCCAGGGCAGGGTTGGGTGGGATATTGGCAGGTTTAGGTGGGATATTGGGCAGGGTTTGCACAACATCAGCTTTGGCCAGCAAAGCTGGAAAATTCGGGGGGGGTGAGGACACAAAACCACGACACGTGTGTTTTAAATGATGCAACAGAGTTTTAATGAGAAGGAAAAGAGCAAAACCAC